AAACCCCGTCTCTACTAAAAATACAAAAATTAGCCAGGCATGGTGGCACGCACCTGTAGTCCCAGCCTCTCAGAGGCTGAGGCAGGAGGAACACTTAAGCCTGGGAAATGGAGGCTGTAGTGATCTATGATCATACCACTGCCCTCTGGCCTGGGTGACAGAGTGAGACCCTGTCTCAGAACAAAACAAAGAAATGGACTTGGATTTGTTTTAATGAGATATGGTAAGGCATGCAGATGTGGAAATGACTGTCATGAAGAAATGCGTTTCTACTCACAGATCCCTAGAAGCAGGAGGTGCGCTGTGCCACATAGGGCCACACGGGGAAGCACGAGGGTGGGTGAGGGGGCAGAGGGAGAGAGAGGAAATGTGGGTGGGAGCCTTGACTGTGGTTTTCAGAGGAAGCAACAGGCAAGGTAAGGTAAGCAAACAGCAGGTTTTGGAGTGCGTAGTTTGAATAATTCTGATGGGCTGGGATACAGGAGTGGTGCCTATTTGTCTGGTACCTGGCCCTGGGGTGATTTCCGGCAGGGGAAAGAAATATCCCAGCCTGGAGGAGCCTGCTGAAAGGAAGCAGGTGGGGGCATGGAATTGGAGTGTGGGCAGACCTGGGCCCCCGTCTGCGGGGAAGGCCTGTCCCCCATGGCTGCTCCCTGGGGAGGTGCCTGGCCGTCACAGTAGACCCAGGACAGATACCAGAAGCTGCTGCTCATGACGAGCTGTCCTCTTGGGCACCAACCGCCCTCCGTGCGCCCTGGGGCGTGTGCTGGCTGCAGCCTCCATCATCCCTGCCCTGCGTGTCCCCTGGGGCGTGTGCTGGCTCAAGCACAGCCTCCATCATCCCCACAGTACCAGCCTGCGTCTTCATGCCTCTAGACTCTCGTGCTCTCGATTCTCTGCCCTGATCCTCACTGGGGTGTGGATTTCGGCAAGAATACAAGATGGAAAAGGAAGGTCTCAGGCGGGTGGTGCTGCTCTGCGTCTAGGTCTGGGGGCAGAGGCACAAGAAGAAAACTCCCCAAGCCTGTAGGATTAGAACCTGGCTGGAGACTCAGCACCTAAAAGGGCCATGCAGATGCTGTCTGGCTTCATTATGCTAACTTCTGAGCCCAGAAGACGAGCTGGGGGCCTTAGGGGCAGAGCTCTCTGCAGGGACCTAGCTGAAGATTAAGAGTCACCTCTAAGGCTAAAGAGGTGGCAGATTGAGCCTCCCACCACAGGACTGTCCATCCTGACGTAGAAGTGACATGTCACAGAGGGTGGAGCAGCCGCTGTGGTAGGAAATGTCCCAGCTTGGCTCTGCCTTCTGGGGTGTGAGTAACACACTGAAACCAGAAGCTGTGGGCTGTGCAGAAGTGGATGCATTCCCACCCAAGGGACCCTGGACTTTGCCAGACTTTGGGGTTGAGGGGAGCCACTAGCACCATCCCAGAGCTGTCAGCCCCAGCCTCAGCCCTGGCGGCTCTCCCCCTGACCTTCCTGCACCCTGATGCTCTCCAACCTCAGACCTGAGACAGGGCTGGACAAGGAAGCTGAGAGCAGAAGAAAAGCGGAAGCGAAGCTCAGATCTGCTGGGAGGAGGCTCCACGTTGTCCCCTGCTGGGGTCTTGCACAGCTGCAGGTGACATCCACGCTGCAGGAATGACGGCCAGGGCCTGGGCCTCGTGGTGGCCTTCAGCTCTGCTCCTCCTCCTTGTCCCAGGTGAGTGGGCTGGCCCTGGACTCCGGGAGATCTGTTCTGAGTGGGAGAGGGCAGGGCGGGGTGCAGGCGGCGGAGGAGCAGCCATAGAGGGGAGTGGGGATGGGGAGAAGGGAAGAGGGCGGAGGAGCATCCAGGAGCTGTCTGCAGCTTCCTCACCAGGGGACAGCAGGCTGCAAGGCACAGCGCGGGGGAGGCCTGTTCCTCTGTGCCCAAGACAGGAAGCCCCAGGTGGGAGGTGATGCTGTGACTGTCACTGCCAAAGTTCTCCACAAATTTAATCCGGGACGATCACACACAATATCACACTCATATGCACACACAGGCCTGCACACACCCAGAGCCTTCCCAGCCTGCCCTTTCCAGTCTCCATGAAAACTCCCCATGCCCTTCCCACCTCTGCATGGAGGAAGCCTCTCACCCTTAGTCCTCGCTCCTGAGTGGACAAGGCCTGCCTGCCTGCCACTGCCTCCTCCACACCACCGGGTTCCATGAGGCCCTGACCCCAGGGCACCCCTGGCCAGGCCCATCTGAGGAGGAGCCTGGACTTGGGCTTGTGTTTTCCAGGCTGTTTTGCTCTGAGCGGCCCCCGCACCGTGGCGGGCCCCCTGGGGGGATCCCTGAGCGTGCAGTGTGGGTATGAGGAGGAACACAGGACTCTCAACAAATACTGGTGCAGAGTACGGTGGACTATTGGATGTGCCAAGATTGTGGAGACCAAAGGGTCAGCAGGGAAACTGAGGAACGGCCGAGTGTCCATCAGGGACCGTCCTGCAAACCTCAGCTTCACAGTGACCCTGGAGAATCTTACAGAGGATGACGCAGGCGCATACTGGTGTGGGGTGGATACACCATTGCTCCACAACTTTCACGATCGCTTCATCCAGGTCGAGGTGTCCGTGTTCCCAGGTGAGCCCCTCCTGTTCTCAGCACCAGGCCTGCCTGAGTCTAGGGCTGCTCATTCTGTCCCTGAAGAAAGAAGTGGGACAGGAGTGTGTGAGGCTGGGGGTCAGTGACTCAGGACACTGTGTGTGCCGCTTGTGTGGATGAGTGTGTGTGTCTTTGTGTGTGGGTACATGCCTAGGAGTGTGGTGTGGTTTGTGTGTGTGTGTGTGCACCTGCATGTGTGTGTTGCAGGGGACACTGGCCCTGAGGTTGGAGACCCCTCTGTGTGCCTTCCCTGACAGCCTTAGGCCTGACCTTTTCCTGGGTGGGGTCTGGGGCTTCCCCTGACTCTGGGGTCCTTGCTGCCTCCCTGTCCTGACAAGGGCCAGGTCCACACTCAAGGGCACCCACTGTCCTGCCTGGGTCTGACTCGCTCCCCACCATGGGGAACGGGACCCCCAGATCATTGGCTCCCCTCACTCCAGGCTGCCCCTGTCCTGGGCCCTGCGTGGACGCTGCCCTGTCTGGAGTGTCCTGAGGCCGCAGCCCCACAGCCCTGTCCTGGGAGCTCCTGCAGCAGCCGCTGGAGGGCTCAGGAAGGGGACCCAGAGCCCTGGGTGGGGTTCTCATGCTCC